GTTGTCATGTTCTGAGCTGCTTTCCTCCGCCACCTTCTGCCCTCATGTTCTGACTGAGCTTGAGCCCAGCACTATGGAGTCAGCTGACCATGGACTGAACCTCTGAAAATGTGAGCTAAAATAAATTTTTCCTCCTCTAAATTGTTCCTTGTTGGGTATTTTGGTCACAGTGATGCGAAAGCTGACTAAAGCAGTGAAATTATTCTTCAAAAGTGAAGCAGAAATAGAGTTTCTCACATAAACAAAAACAAAGGGTATTCATCACCAGCAACCTGCTCTGAGCAAATGTTCAAACAAGTTCTTCAAGGAGAAAAAAAATGATGTAACCTGGATCTACATAAATAAAATGAGAGCACTGGAGAAGAAATAAATGTGAAATGCCATCTTTCTTTGTCTTATTCTTGATATAAAAGATAACCATGTGTTTAGAGCAGTAACAGTAGCCATATATTGGGTGATTATAGCATAGGAAAAAGTGAAATTAATGAGAGCAATATCATAGGGTACCTGCCCTACACGTGAAAGTGTGGAGTATTATTTGAGGATGTTCTTATATTCTTATGATGTACATTGCAAACTCAGGGGCAACCATTAAACATCTGATAAGGGAGAATAGTTGATATTCTAAGAGAGGGAATAAATGAAATCATATAAAATGCTCATATAACCATAGAAATGGGAAAATTCGTAAAGAACAAAGGCAAAATAGAGAAAGAAGTTATAAATACAATAAATACTACTCCAACTCTACCAATAATCACTTTAAAAGTGACTAGTCTAAATATGCCAATTAAAAGAAAAAGTGTCAAACTGAATAAAGAAACAAGACTCCACCATATATTGTCTGTAAAAAAGCCACTTTGATTAGGAAGACCCAGATATAATTAGAGCTAAATGATGGACAGAGATGCACTATACCAAACTAATCAATGGGAATCTGCAATAGCTATATTAATTTTACATAAAGTACATTTCAGAATATGGAAAATTATCAGCAATAAAGAGGGACAAACTCCAAGAAGACATAGCAATTCTAAATATGTAAGAATTTAGCAACAGAAATCTAAATATGTGACACCAAAACTGATATAACTCAAGGAGAAATTGACAAAATTCACTACTATGTAGTTGGAAACTTCCAAACACTTCTGTCAGGGCTTGATAGATGAAGCAGGCAGAAAATCAATAAGGATATAGTTGACCAGAATGACTCTGTCAATCAACCTGATCTTATTGGAATTCTGAAATACTCTACCCCAAAAGAATAGAGTACTCATTCTTTTAAAGTTTACATGAAATTCAGAAAGGCACACTGTGTCCTGTATCATAAAATAGTCATCAATAAATTTAAGAGATTGGAAATCAAATAAAATATATTCTTATATCACAATGAAATTAAGCTGAAAATCACCAATAGAAAGAGAACTGAAAAATCCCCAAATATTTGGGAATTCAATAATACATTTGTAAATAACAAATGAGTAAAAATAGTCTCAAGGGAAATTTTTGAATATTTTGAATTCAACAAAAGAAATTACAATTTATCAAAATTACACAATTTATCCAATGAACTGTGTAAGCATTTAGTGTATTTAGGGGAATTTATAGCACTGAAGACACAGACAAGAGAAGAAGAGTGAGCTAAACTCAGTTTTCTAGCTTTTAAAAGCCAAAGCCAAAAGAGCAATTTAAGCCTAAAGCAAGCAAAAAGAAAAAAAAATCAATAAAATTAAAAACAATAGAAAAGTTACTACAAACCACTTTATGTCCACAAATTTGATAACTCAGCTAAAATAGATGTGTTCCTTGACAAACTAAAGTACTCACACTCACACAGGGAGAAATAGACAACCTGAATAGGTCTGTTTCTATTAAGGAAAATAAATAAAAAGCCAACAACCTTCTAAAAGAGAAAACATCAGGTTTCTTTGGCTTTGCTGGTGAATTCTATGAAAAATTTGAAAAAATAACTGACCTCAGTGGTGTACTATTTCTCCATCATCTCTCCAGAATATACTGGTTCATCAATTCTAATAAGTATGCCATACTAACAAAAGGTGTAATAATAAGGCCAGCTGGGTGTAGAGCATAGGAAAACTATGTCTTTATATCCATGCAATTTTTCTTTAAATAAAAACTATTCTAAAAATAGTTTAATTTTTTTAAAAAAGAGCTGAAAGGAAAAATTGTCAAACCAGAATTCTATATCAAGCCAAAAAACCCAAATAACTTCATAAACATGAATACAAATAATGTGTGTATATATGTATATACTTTATATATGTATACACTTTGTATATTGAAATCAATATATAAAGTATTAAGAGAAAATGGAGAAAATTTTTGATAAAGGAAAGCTGGGCAAACCCATCACCAACAGACCTGTACTCCAAGAAACACTAAATGAAGGTCTCTGGACGAAAGGAAAGTGGTACCAGTAGATGATCAGATCCCCAGAAATATATAAGTGCCAGAAATGGTAACTATGTAAATTATGCAGGAGAATAGTTTCAAACTATCACATTTTCTCTTAATTCATTTAAAAAATATCCTACAGTTTAAAGAAAAATGACAGCATTGTATGGTGGGATTTATCAGGTATGGAAATGGAATTCTTCTCAGAACTGTGGCATGTAATAGGAGGTTAAAATTAGTATGGACTAGGCAAGTGTGGTGGCATGTGTCTGCAATCCCAGCGACTCAGGCTGAGGCAGGAGTATCAAAGCCAGCAACTTAGCAAGGCCATAAAAAACTTTACTGAGACCCTGTCTCTAAAAATTTAAAAAACAAACAAACAAAAAAAAAAGGGCTGGGGATGTGGCTCAGTGATTAAGTGCCCCTAGGTACCACCCTGGTACCAAAAAAATAAAATAAAGTAATATTGTATGGACTTAGAAGTTTTTTACATTTTAAATAAAAACATTAATTCTAAGTTTATGGTTAAAATTTAAGATTACAGAAAAGGAAGAACAGAAGAGCAAAGGTCAGATGGTACAAACAGGAAACAAAGAGCAAAATATGAGGCCTAAGTCCAAATATATCAGTATTACATTGGACAGAATGAATTAAACACCTAGTTAAAAGGCAGAGATTATCAGAATGGGTTAAAAAATCAAGACTTAATCATGTCTACAAGAGATGTGCTTAAAATCTAAAGATACAGATAGATTGAAAGTTAAAAAGTCAGGAAAATAATAATGCAAAAATAAAGAACGAAAAGTTGGAACTGCTGTATTGATATCAGATAAAATAAACTGAAAAATTATTAGCATAAATAGAAATCCTGAAGAAAGATACGACAATAATTAATGCTCTTGCACTAAGTAACAGAGCTTCAAAATACATAAAGCAAAAATCAACAGAATGAAAGGGAGAAAGAGTTACCAAATAAAGCAAAAATCAACAGAATGAAAGGGAGAAACAGTTACCAACCATCGTGGGAGATTTTGATACCTGTCTCTCAGTAAATACATTAAATGGGCAAATAGAAGGTTGGAGGAACAGTATCAACTACCTCAGCCTAACTGACGTTATAGAATACAACACCCAACAACTACAGAACTCCCGTTCCCTTTAAGGGCACTTCATAATTTCATTGAAACAGATCATATTCTGGGCCATAAAACAATATTCCTTACCAATGAATGGGATGGATTCAAACTCAGAAGCTTCTTCTCAGCAAAGGGAATGATCAATAATGTGAAGAGAGAGCCCACAGAGTGGCAGAACATCTTTATTACACGCACATCAGATAGAGCACTAACTTCCAGGATATATAAAGATTTAAAAAATCTTAACATCCCAAAACCAAATAACCCAATCAATAAATGGTCTAAGGAACTGAGCAGACAATTCTCAGAAGATGTACGTTCATCAACAAATATGTGAAAAAATGTTCAACATCTCTAGCAATTCAAGAAATACAAATCAAAACTACTCACAGATTTCATCTCACTTCAGTCAGAATGGCAATTATCAAGAAGACAAGCAAAAATAAATGTTGGTGAGGATATGAGGGAAAAGACACACTCATAGATGCTGGTAGAACTGCAAATTGATGTAAGCATCATGGAAAGCAGTATGGAGATTCCTAAGAAAACTTGGAATGAAACCACCATTTGACCCAGTTATCCCACTTCTCAGTCTATTTCCAATGGACTTAAAATCAGCATACTACAGTGATGCAGCCACATCAATGCTATAAAGTAGCTCAACTCACAATAGTTTTACTATGGAACCAACCTAGGTGTCCTTCAACACAGGAACGGATAAAGAAAATGTGGTCAATATGCACAATGGAATATTACTCAGTTTTAAAGAAGAACAAAATCATGGCATTTGCCAGTAAATGAGTGGAAGTGGAGAATATCATAGTAAGCAAAATAGGTCAATTCCCAAAACCACAGTTTAAATGTTTTCTCTGATATTTTGACACTAATTCACAATAAGGAGCACGGCTATGGCAGAATAAAGTTACTTTGGATTAGGCAGAGGGGAGGGAAAGGAAGGGAGCCAGGTATGGGGTAGGAAGAAGAGTAGACATTATTACCCTAGGTGCATGTGTGACCATATGACTGATGTGACTCTACATCCAGTACAACCAGAAACATGAGAAGCTATACTCCATTTGTGTATGATGTGTGAAAGTGCCTTCTACTGCCATGTATAACTAATTAGAACAAATAAAAAAAAAAGAGTGGTGGCAGCCAGGGGGTGGAGGAGGAGGAATGGGAGTTCTTACTTACATGGCAGAGCTTCTGTTTGGAGGGACAAAACTGTTCTGGAAACAGAAGGTTGTACAATATTGTGAGTGTAATGAATGCCTCTGAGTTGTCCACTTAACATGGCTAAAATGGCAAATTAAATGGTACCAGTCATTTAAAACAATGAACACTTTAATTATTAAAATTTTTAACATTTTCATTTCCAGAAAATTAAAAGAGTAGGATGCCATTCATAGTTTTTCTGGAGAACCTTCTTGGCTGCCAAGATGTGAGGCGTTAACTTGTGAGCCGTTCTGCCATGTCCAAGAGTGGGTACTGCAAAGAGAGGAAAGATAAAGTGCATAATTTAGAAGCAAAACATTTTATATTCTTTCAACAAAGGCCTGAAGCTTTTGGGAGATACATTTCTGGGTTGGTTTTTTCTATCAGAACTTCATTACACATCATGAAAAACATTGAAGCTGTCTCACAGCTCACTGATGCTATTGCATTTAAAAGTTGTTTTCATTTCTATCTTTATGTTTCACTGTGGTAGTTTCCACTAAAATAATCTATTATTAATCCAGTCTCAAAATATTTTACACAAATATAATGCCTACCCTCCCTTTCACTTCAAAGAGCCAGGTGTAAGGAATATGGAAAACACAGCCATCTGTCATGAGATGGATATCCAATGGCAGTCTTTGTAGCCACCACATCACAGTCCAGGGGGTGTCCCCTTAGTACTTCTCTCCCAGGCTCCATCTGAGCTCATTACTGTTGAAATTCTCCTCAGCTGGGGAGGAATTTCACTCTCATATGTCTTTAGAATGCCATCAAGGCTTTGAGAGAAATGTCAAAATGAGAAACAAAGTACATAATCTGTGGAAGAGGAAAGATCTAAGTTTTAGGTAGAAGAGTTACCCACATTATGAAACAGAGAAAAAACAGAGCAATAGATGACCTTTCTGGAAAAGGGGGCAAAACATGGAAAGAAAAAACCCAGTGAGTTAAGTATTCTAAATTTTAAAGAAGCCATCGATTTTTATTTTTCAAAAAAGTGGTTTTTGATGAGTACTCTTTAGGTAAAATCTTTAATTTAATCTTCAATTAATTTTCTCATAGTAAAATATTTTAAACTTGAAGGCTTTTTGAAATTATCTCTGAAAGTCAAATGCAAACAGTTGTTTTTCAAACACACATAAACAGATGTGCACTCCAGGTCATTAGTCACTCACTGGTCTTGTGTGGCCATGTCCTGGGGCAGTGACAGGCCGCACCTCTCCATCACCATCATCTTCCTCCATTACTATTGCTGATGTTTCTGGCCCCTTGGTGTTCAGCTGTGTTCAGGAGCAAAGGAAGGCAAGCCAGGAAAAGACAAAGATTAAAATGTGACCAGGTCTCCTTTTATTAAACAAACTTTAAGAAGTTAGTTTTTCCATAGCTAATTTTTAAATGACTAAACCTCACTGGTTACAATATATTCAACTAAAAAATAAAGATGATTTTCTGAAATATGAAAAAGTAAATAAACATATATGATAAATATTCTTGAGTGCTATATAGAAACATTAAATATTTCTTTACCTCTTATTTTATTTTTTTTAAACTTTTTTTTAAAGTTGTTGATGAACCTTTATTTTATTTATTTGTATGTGGGGTTGAGAATTGAACCCAGTGCCTCATGCATGTCAGACAAGCGCACTACCAATGAGCTACAACCCTAGCCCTACCTCTTATTTAAGAAATAAAAAAAAAAAAAACAGATTTCTTTTGGTAACCTTAATTAGAGCAAAAACTATAAGAAATACATCATCAACTTACTGCAGGTGTTCCAGAAGGGAAGCAATCCTTCTCTGAAAACGAAAAGGAAGGGAATGTTAACAATTCACCAGAGAAAACTTTTCTATGGCAAAAAGAAAAATAATACCAAAGAGGAGCAAGTGAAATGTCTTATAATTGATTTTATTTTAAGTAGAATTATTTCTCTAGAAATATGACAGTAATAGTAACATAAAAATAATAATTTAATAAGACTCAGCTACTAACTCTATAATCTTAAGGAAACCTTAAAAATACATTTTGCAAAACCTGTATTGATCATTAAAATGATTGGATTTCATGGTATGTAAATTATTCTTCAATCAAGTTATTAAAATGTAATGGAGTCCTGGCCTGATAATTCCATGCCTATAATCCAAGTGGCTCAAGAGTCACAGACAGGAGGATCTTGAGTTCAAAGCCAGCCTCACAAATAAGCTAGGTGCTTAGAAACTCAATGCGACCCTGCCTCAAAATAAGATACAAAATAGAGCTGGGGATGTGGTTCAGGGTTTGAGTGCCCCTGGGTTCAATCCCCGGTACCCTGCCCCCACAAAAGTGTAATGAAAACCATAACCACCAAGCTGTATTAAAATAAAACATTCCTTATTTAAGATACTTTCTTAAACAGTAAAGGTGATATGATAAATATTCTTGAGTACCAAGGAGCAAGGGGATATAAGGCCACCAAACATGGCAACTGGGAAAAGAATTATTTTTGACATGGTTTGTTTCTTTTTCAAATGCAACTTACTAGTTTTTGCAGAAGTTCTAGGTAAAAGTACAACCTTTTCCTCAGGATACCAGGTAAGTTATTTATAGAAAGGGTCAAGATCAGTATTACTTGCAAAGAAGTCTACTTCTTTTTTGAACATAGCCTTTATCTCTGTGATGATGTAAACATATTAAATACAATTAATCCAACCACATATGATTTTTGCATACTTAGATTATTTTTAAAAACTGTATATATGACTTTAGTGACGGAAAACATATTAAATAAAAATTATATATCTTGTGGTTGTAATGGGCAAAATCTACACAGAGAGAAATGGGAGAAATGATTTTGCATCTTTTAAATTTCAGTGCAAAGAAGAGAAAGCAGGAGAACCAGCGAGGAGAAGGGGAGTCTAACTAAATCTCCAAAGACACTCCAGGTATCGCTCAACCAACTGCACCACGTGGACTTCATTCTGATGCTGCCTTACACAAACTGTTTTTAAAAATCCAGTATACTTCAACTCTTACCCACTTAGATGCTAATTCTGAGGAATAAATCCTTTCAGGTAAGATGTTTATTTTTATGTATTTGCATGTAATTTTGAAGAGAAAATACTTTTTATTTCAAGGTCTATGCATTTATAAAGCAAAAATTCCTTCTAGGCCACTGACAATAAACATATCTCTAGCATAAACATGTCTAGAAATCCACACTTTTTCCTTCTCAACTGAAAATCATTTAAAGCCATGAGGAGGAAAAAAACCCCAAGTAAATGGAACACCATGGAACAAGTGTGAATCCCACTAACATGTTGAATTATAATGTATAAGAAATATGGAAAAAAATGTAACAGATCCAATTCCATTTCTAACAAAATTATGAGATCAATGAAATCCTCAGTCTCCAGATGATGTTCAAGAGCCATCCGGACAGTTGACAAAAAGAGTATCTATGTAGGAGAAAGTAGGAACAATACAGTTTAGCCTTTTATTTTTCCAGAAATGATCTTTTTATCTATCAGGGCTTCATAAGTTTCCATGGGATTCAGTCTTTTACCACTGTCTGATGTCTCACCAGGAGGTGAAAGTCTGACTTTCTTCTGTTTCAAGGTGCTGGCGTTATAATACTTGTTGACACCCTGTTGAGGATGCTCCGTTGGCTTTCCTTTGAGGACCCTGAAGGTTTGTGGCAACTGAGCCCCCTGCTCTGGCATGCCCTAACAAAGAGAAATTCAGACATGAGTTGTGGTTTGAATTGCTCTAATACTATCGATTTTCAGACATAAATATCAACATACATAAAACAAACCCATACCCATAATTTTAGATTTGACTAAATTCTAAATGGTCTCATTTTGTAAAACTCTACTTTTCCATATTTATTTTGCAAATCACCAGGAATGATCCAAACAGAGGAATGGAATGGAGTGCTGGGTTTGTTTGGGGAGAGGGACAGAAGTGTCAAACCTGTATTTGCTCTTGTTCATCACCCACCAGAGTAGCTCCTAATTGAAAAGGCTTAAGCCAAGAGCATAAGTCAGGGGACAGCAAACAGGAAGAAGGATGCTTGCTTATGTCTGGTTCTCCTCTAGGCTTTAGACAGAGAACACAGGGCAGCAGGCCCATTCCAACTTCCGCACTTCAGAGAATACAAATGTAGGGTTTTGAAACCAAGAACCCACTTTATACAGTGTTTACTGTTTCAGATCTTTTTTGATGGGAAGGAGGAGGAGTACCAGGGATTGAACTCAGGGGCACTCAACCACTCAGCCATACCCTCAGCCTTTCTATTTTTTGGGTCTCACTAAATTGCTTAGTTCCTCCCTTAGCTGCTGAGTCTGGCTTTGAACTTGCAAACCTCCTAAATCAGCCTCACTAGCTTCTGCGATTACAGTCATGCTCCATCTGAACCCAGCAAAACACTACAGTTTATTTTGCCCTAAATTCATTTAAAATTATCTAGTAGTACATTACATCGTCATGCCATATTTTTTACCAATTTACTACTAATGATATTTGAGTTGATTTTTTAATACATTTTGCTATCTAAATAATGGGACAAAACCCATAATATGTGCTGTTCTATGGTTCCCCAAGGACATACATGCTAAATATTATTCTGGGTCAAAAGGTATGTATGTGAAAAAGTAACATATTCATTTGTGATTTGGGATATACACGTAAAGGGTTTAAAAAAAATTTTTTTTTCACTGTTTGGTATTTGGGATTAAACCCAGGGCACCAAGCTGCTAAGCAACTTCTAAACATTACCACAGGTTACCTGTCATCACAAGGTCTTAATGATATGGAGTCAAATTGGCTTGTTTCCTCCCCAATCTCCTGTACTGGGGATTGAATCCAGGGGTGCTTTAACACTGAGCTTCATCCCCAGTCCCTCTACCCTTTTGCAAATTTGGGACAAGAGTCTTGTTAAGACCCCAACACCTGCATCAAACCTGTGATCATCCTACCACAATCTGGAGCCTCTGGGATTACAGGGGTGAACCAACGTGCTTGGCTACACAAATTATTATTATTATGATCATTATTACTATTATTATTTGGAATTTTTTTTTTTTGAGACATACGGTCTCACCATTTTCCCCTGGCTTCTCTCAAACTCGGGGACTCAAGTGATCTTTGTGTATCAGTCTGCAGAGTAGCTGGAACGACAGGCATGTGCCACAAAGCCCAGCTTTCATGTTTATTTAAAAAAATATTAGTTGTAGATGGACACAATACCTTTATTTTATTTATTTTTATGTGGTGCTAAGGCTCTAACCCAGGGCTTCATGCCTGCTGGGCAAGCCACATCCCCATCCCTAATGTCTTTTTTTATTCTTTAATTTGTTTTTGGAAGTACTAGGTATTGAAGCCAGGAGCATTATACCACTGAGCTACATTCCCAGCCCTTTTTACTTTGAGATAGGGTCTTGCTAAAACTGCCCAGGCTGGTCTCAAACTTATGATCCTTCTGCCTCAGCCTCCTTAGCTGCTGGGATGATAGGCAGATGTCACTATGCCCAATCATCTTAAATTGCTGTTTTTTTATTCTGGGTTTCCTATCACATGTAAAATGTCTTATCAATATGAGATTGTACACCAAGTGTGGTGGCATGTACCTGTAAACTCCCCTGCTCAGAAAGCAGGAGCAGGAGAGTCACTGGAGCCCACAAATTTGAGACCAGTCTGAGCATCAGAGGAAGCCCCACCTCATGCCCCCAAAAAATGGAAAATAAAAGAGATAAAAGTGGGGAACTCTAATAACTAACAGTGAGAAAATAACCCAAATTTAAATGTAAGGTCTCTGGTGTGGCTCAGTGGTAGAGCTCTTGCCTAGCATGCTCAAGGACATGAGTTTTCATGCTTATTCATACTAGCCCCAAAGCAGAAATCTAAAATCTCCAAATCCTTCTATATAATGAAATACATATATATATATATATATATATATGTGTGTGTGTGTGTGTGTGTGTGTGTGTGTGTATATCTTTACATCTATGTGTGTGAGTGTGTGTGTGTATACACACATTTTCCCCCAGCACTGGGGGGTTGAGCCCAAGGACATCCTACCACTTGGCTTTATCCCTAGCTCTTCTTATTTTGAGATACAGTCTTGCTAAATTGCAGAGGCTGGCCTAAAGCTGCCTCAGTTTCCTGAATTGCTGGAATTAGTCATGTGCCACCAAACCCAGTTTACAATCCCTTTTCTAGCCAGTCCAGTGGTGCACATCTGCCTTCCAGCACTCAGCACATTGACATAGGAGGTTTGCTTGACCTCAGAAGTTCAAGACTGGCCTGGCCAACATACGGGGAACTCCACCTCAAACAAACAGAAAACCCACAAAAGTGATGGTCAATTTTTCTTTCCTTTTCCACATCTGAGGATTGAATTCAGGGGTGTGTTACCATTGACCTACATCCCCAAAACATTTTTTTTGATACAGAAAACAATTCTCTTTACGTTACTGATCCTTGACTTGTGATCCTCCTGCCTCAATCTCTTGAGTAGCTGGGCTTATAGATGGGCACCCCTGTACCCAACTCTATTATCAGTTTTCAAGTGTGCAGTAAATTAACTGGAACAACCTTATTGACCATTATATCTCCAAAACTTACTCATGTTTAACTGAAACTTTGTAATTTCTGAGTAATCTACTAGCCTATTAGGACTCATAATAAACAAGTTCCCTTCCTATTATATGGAATCCTTTCCGGCGCACTTGGTATTATCCAGGCTGGTGGGTATTGTCCATCTGCAGCCCTTGCCAGGAAGCCAGCCAGGTCAGTCATTGTGATTATTACTGTTGCCACATTTTAAGGATGAGAGACATGCTGAATGTCTTGCCCAAGGGCAAAGAGTCAGGCAGTGTTGGTTCATGAGCTTGAGTCTCCAGAGAGCAAGGATCTTCCCTTCCAGGAGGGCTCTGTCCCAGCCCCTCAGAGCTTCCACCCACACTTCCCTGAACCTAGGACACATAGGCGCAGCTGCCACAGGAAGAAGCACAAAATATGTGTATATAACAGACGTGGGGGTCTTGGCACTCTCAACAGGGGAATGAGGGCTCAGGAACAAAAGACCCCCACATGGGGGTCAGGAGATGAACTTCTGGTACATGTCCTGGCATTGCTGGGTGTGAAGGGAGAATAGGAGGCCAAGCCTCACTTGGAAGCCTCCCAATGCACCACTGGGCTGATGAGAAGCTAAAAACAGAGTCAGTACATGGGGTTCTCCCTAACCTCCACCCCACAGCTCACAGTCAAGTCCCTGGATGTCTAGAGGCAGGACAAGGGAGAGGGCTGGCACCACATCACAGCAAGGGACCATGGGGGGCACTGTGGGTTACCCACCCTACTGTACACCTAATGCTCCACACAAATGTTTCACATTGTATGTCAAAAATTTCCATAAATAAAGCATCTGGAGTGCTGGGGTTGTGGCTCTGGAGTAGAGTGCTTGCCTAGCATACATTAGGAACTAGGTTCAATCCATGGCACCACATAAAAATAAACAAATAAAATAAACATATGTGTCCATCTACAACTGATATTTATATATGTACATACATACACACACACACACACAAACAACACACATACACACACACATATAAAAGAAACAGAATTTTCTTCAAAACATAAACTACTGGACTAGTCTCAGTCCTCATTAATAGCTGAGGAAACTGGGGGCCAAAAAAGTAAGGACTGGCACAAAGCCAACCAGAAAGTGTGTTTCAGTCTTTTCTCTTTGTCTATCCAGGGACACCTGAGTGTGCTCTGAAGCACTGTGACCTGGACCCTGTACCCTCCAGGTCCATAATCCCACTCCTTATGCTCCAAGTGCTTCAGCTTCAGGGCCAGCCCTACATCGGGAGCTTCCCCCAACACATGTGCAACCACAGACCCCCATGTTTTAAAGCTCACACGATACTCCTTACCTTCTGTACAGGTGCAGACTTGCCACTCCTTGGGGGGGCCTGAGTGGTGCACCTGGGCCAATGGAGGTCTTTAAGGTGTTCTTTTGGCCCCCAGTTGGTCCCCTCGTCCGCCTGAAGGCAGACCGCCTCAGACATGTACCTGGGAAGCAACAGGCCAAATGCAAGGAGTCACTGCCCACCTTGGCCTGGTCTCCCTGACCACTCTCACCCTCAGCTGGGAAAGCACAGAGCCCAGGGCTCTCATCCAGGAGCCTTATCCAGGCTGCCATTCCCCTCTAGCACATTTCTTGGGATAAGAACCTACAACACCAAGGAAGAGTGAAATTCCCAGAAACTCCCAGAGTGCCCTGGAGAAAACCCCAAGGGAAAGGAACAGGGAGTGTTAAGGCTGGGAGCTGGGGACAGGGACCAGGGAAATAGACCCAGCTTCACCCCACCCCACCAGCCCCAGGGTCCACCACTTGAGCCCTTGGTTGACCAACTTACTTAGGTCCCAAGGGTGCACACAATTCGATGTAACAGTTTCTTGTGCAGCCCACATTGAATGCGTTGTCATGCTGGAGGGAGATGAGGAAGGGAAGAGAAGTTCAGAATCAGCAGGACTGAGCAAGGCCATCTTCCAGGGACCCTCACTAAGTTGGTCAGTTAAACCAGGGCTCAACCTGGGCCTGTGGCCAGGTCTAGGTACAGGGGTGCCCAAGAGTGACCCAGGGCCTCCTGCCTTCCCAGGCTCCTAGGAAGAGTGACCTCCCTCGACCCACTTGTGAGCAGCTGTACCCAGACAGTGCTGACCCAGCACCCACCTCTCCTGCCTTCTCAGGGCTCCTCAACCCCTAGTGCTTCCCTTTGCAGGATCCTTGCTCTGTCTCCATTGGCCACACCTGTCCTCTCACCTCATCCTTCCAGGTACCTTTTAAGGTCTGTCTCGTGCTGTTCTGCTCAACTGATCCAAAGATGGTGTCACCACCCCGCTCCCACTTGACTCTCTTACCTCTCGTTTTTTTCTAAAAATCTACCTTCGTTGAGTTTCACTATCTGGGAGACCAGTGGCAGCAGGGGATGCCTAGACATATTTCCCTAGTCAAAAATCAGATTTTCCAGGAAAATATGAGCTGAAGACCTTCAGTACACAAAGCAGGAAAGGTCAAGCTCAAAGGTCATGTCCTTCCCAGGACTCTGACTGGCTTCTCCTCTCCTTTATTCGACTTTCTCTTTCTCCTGAGTTCATCCATCAGCCTCGACCCCTCCTCCTTCCAGAACAGATTGAGTTTCACCCCAACTTCATGAGCTTTAGGTAGCAAATACTCTGTTATAATAGAAAGTGGCCCAGCAGCACCTCTATCCACCCCAAGTCTCCAATGGCCTACGCATGAAGACTTTCATCTTCAACACTCTTCTCCACTAGAAGAAAAGAAGACTCCACATCAGAACAGCTCTGGAATATGTCCAAAAAGCAACTCGAATCAATGTCCTCTATGAGGTTCTGCCTCCTTTAGGGTGTTCACAGTACTTAAGAAATGAGTATACCACCAGGTGCAGTGGCACACACCTGTAACCCCAGAGAATTGGGATTTTGAGCCTGGAGGATCACAAGTTCAAGGCCAGTCTCAACAACTTAGCAAGGCCCTCAACAATTTAGTGACACCCTATCTCAAAACAAAAAAAAATAGAGCAAGGATTAGGGATGCAGGTTTGGTGGTAAAGCACCTGTGGGTTCAATCCCTAGTACCAGAAGAAATAAATTAATTAACAGCGGAGCATTAAAAAATTACAGAATCTTTTAACTTAGAGAAAGAATATTTGATTAGATATATATCATGTGTAGAAAATATTGATCGTATATATAAAGTATAGAAAATGTTTAAGGAATGATAGTAAATTTCTAAGAACTGAGAGGTAAATGTGAATACCATCCTCCCCCCACATGGAACCCTATCACACACAACTAGAATCCAACAGCTCTGTGCCACCCAGACCAGCCTCTCTCTCTGGCTCCACTCCTGGGGCTCCTGCTCCAATTCTGTGTCTCAAACGCCCTCACACTCCACAGGACAAAATCCAGAGGCATCTTCTTCTTGCCCCATCTTCTGCCCAACTTCCTGCTGCCTCTCCTTCTTCCCCTTATCCTGGGGGGGTCAGGATACCAGGCTTCTCTCTGTTCCTTTCCTCTTTCCTTCTATCCCCAAATGTTGATCTTCTGTTTGTTGGTTCACTCATTGATTCAGATGTCTTTTCTCTGTGTGCTGGGGATTGAAGAATTCAGGGCCTTGCACATGCTAAGCACACACCTACCACTGAGATGCACCCCCATCAGAAATATTTCAGGGCATCAAAAATGCTTCTGTCCAACCAGGCACGGTGGCACACACCTGTAATCCCAGTGACTTGGGAAACTAAGGCAATTTTGAGACCAGCCTCAGCAACTTAGTGAGACCCTGATTCATAATAAAAAGTAGCAGGGACTGGGGATGTAGCTCAGTGGTAAAGTGCCCCTGGGTTCAATACCGAGTAGCAAAAAAACAAAGCCCAGTCACTGCACTGGAGATGGAAAGCATGCCTCAAACAGCATGGCCAGCCTACTTTCAGTGGTGAGGGCAGCTGCAACCTGAGGCCCTGTGCACCAAGGGGAGTGGACAGGGTAGAGCAGAGAGAGAGTATCATGGGAACCATGTAGGCAACCCAGCTCACAGCACCCAAGTACATGCAGAGGAGAAGCCCAGAGAGTTAAGTGCTGAGACAGCGACTTCTGGTTTCAGAGGCTGTGTCTAGACCAGAAAGAGTAGTCTGAAGATGTCTGCTGAATTTGGCCATTAATGAGAGCATCATCCTGACAGCAAGGGCTGGGCGGACCTGGGCCAGGAAGTGAAGGGGGAGCTAGTGAACAAGCTCAACTCTGTCAGGAAATAAGGCCCAGAAGGTACAACAGGTGGAGTGGAGGCCTGGGATGTTAAGGCTGGGACTTGTATGACTTTTAATCTGAGCACAAACATGTGTAGATGACCATGGGAAGGAATGGTAGTGATGTAACAGCAGCACACAGGGCACTCTCTGGTGCCAGCCACTGTTCTATGTGGTTTATATGAATTAACCCACAATTCCCTGTTTTACAGATAGGGAAATTGAGTGACCAGGGGCTGAGTAGCATACCCCAGGTCTCCCTGCTGATCAGTTATAGAGCTGTGATTTGAACTTATGGGGTCTACACCAGAGTCTTTGCCACCAACCACCAAGCAAGTGATTCTAGGAGGAGTTGCAGTCAGGGAATGAAGTATGGTGGGAGTGAAAGTTGGAGCATGGGATCAGTGCCTGAAATTAGTGCTGCCAAGAACAGAAAGGAGCCCTGTCTGGTGAATCTTAGAGTGCAGACCACATTTAGGTCCCTTGAGACTTGGTATCCTGGACTTGGAAGGGCCTCACTCTGAGCAGAGGAGGAAGGGTGATGGCCTATGGCCTGACCTGGGGCTGGAAGAACCACAGGATGGAGGGAGGGAACAGGCTGCCAGGCAAACTCAATGATGATACTAGAAGCTGGAGAGAGGAGAAGACAGGCAGACCACAGGGCTGAGGAATAAGGGCCAAACACAGGAGTCACAGGGGGGAGGGAACCACATATGGCAGTGGTGGGTGCTGACTAAAAGGATGGGAGGTGATGAGCAGACAGGCTCCTCTGTCTGTCCAGCTGCCTCGGGGTCTGCAGCTTCCCCTCCCCCACTGATGCTGCCCACCAGCCTTCCTGAAAGAGACTTTAGTCAAGTGATTGCCATAATAGAGGAATCCCAGGGCAGAGATGTCCACTCCTATCATTCCTAGAGGATGCTCAAAGAAAAAGCAATAAAGACACAGATGGGGAAGAAAGCAATGAAACTGCTCCACAGGACATGAGGTTCCATTCAGAGTGAACAACAACGAATGCTGGAGAAGAAGCTCAGTGGTTGAGCACCCCTGGTTCAATCCTCAGTGCTGGAAAAACAGCAACATGGAGGGCTCCTGCTCTTTGGAAGATGCTATGAAGAAAATGAAATGACAAGCCATGAATTGCAAGAAAAGATTTGCAACACATAGATCTGAATCCAGTATAGAGAACTCCTGAAACTCAATAAGAAAACAATACAGTTTTTTTTTTTTAAATGGGCAAAAGTTTGGAGCAAACACCTCACCAACAATATACCCATGGCTGATAAGACACAAAAATATGCTCAACATCATTAGTCATTAGGAAAATAAAGAGTGGAGCCCTAGTGATATACCACTACTCATTTATTAGACAGGCTACAATTTGAAAACAAAAAAGAATAGTGACCAATGACAGTGTCAAATGCTAGTGAGGATGTGGAGCAACTGGAATTCTCATTCATTGCTGGTACAAAATAGAAACAGTACAGTTGTTTGTTTTCTAAAACATCCCATATGTTTATCTTATGACTCAGCAATGCCACCCTTAACAATTTACCCAACAGAAATGAAAACTTATGTCCACATGTGTATGCATCAATGGTGGTTTTAGCAGATTTATTAATAACTGCCTGAAACTGGCTGGGCACAGTTCCCCATGACTTTAATGGCTTGGGAGGCTAAGGCAAGAGGGTGACAAGTTCAAAGCCTCAGTAACTTAGGAAGGCCTTAAGCAACTTAGTAAGACCCTTTCTCAAAATTTTAAAAATTTTTCAAAAAGAAAACATAAGGGTGCTGGGGGTGGGGGTGGGTGAGGCTGGGATTGTTGCTCAGTGGTTAAGCACCTCTGGGTTCAATCCCTGGTACAAAAACAAAACAAAAATTCTGCCAAAGCCTAGATGCAAAGTAAAAATCCTTCAATTGGTGAATGTACAAATAATCTGTAGGGAAATACAATACTACACAGAAACAAAAGACAATAAACTACTGATGTGAGCAACTACATAGGGGAATCTCAAATGCATCGTGCTCAGTGAATGAAGCCAGACTAGAAAGCCCACAACACCATTTATGCATGATTCCGGAAAGAGAAAAACCTCAAGGACTCAGGGAGAGAAAATGACAACAAGAGATGAAAGGATTTTCTGGGGTAGTGAACCTGGTTAAGCTTGATCTTGGTGGAGACTACACAATGTCATTTGTCAAAATCCCTAACTATAGATGAAAAAGGGTGAATTTACTGTTTGTAATTACCCCTCAATGAATGACATTTTCACGAAATTTTTCATGGCTCCCAGGTTTTCAGTTCTTCCAAACAAAATTCCATGCTTGGCTTTCTGGGCCTTTCTAATCTTGACCCCCATGGGGTCAACCTCATTGCCCATGTCACCTTGTGCTTGAACTAGGATCCATTTCTTCATCATTCTGTTAACACCCTACTTTCAGATTTCTCTGCCTTTCTACAAAATTGTACCTCTCACAGTCAATGCCCTCCTGTCTGCCTCTCCAAAAGCACACCTAGGACACAGAGAGTGGCATGTTCTCTACAGCATGGGCTTCGCCAAACTCCCAGTCTCTTCCAGTCGGCTACACCACTCAGGACTGACCCCTCGCTCAGAGCGTTCCTGGTGTCTCCCAGTGTTATTCTGATGGCAGGTTGCTTATCAACACAAGTGCATGATGTACTTACTCACCCCTATACCCATCCCTCAAGTAACCACCACCTAGCACACCCAGCACACAGTAGGCTTTCAATGCAATGCACCCAGGAGGGAGAATGGCCCCAACCTCCAGGGTATAGAGATATCTGAGCTGCATCTTCAGAGGTGGGTCTGGAAGGACTCATGAGGCATCAGCAGGGCCAAGGGCAGTGGAGAAAGCGCACAAAGTGTCTAATTGAAGAAGAGGTGCAAGATGCCTCCACACAGCCAAGGGCACACGCACTCACTGCTTACCTTCTCCTCATAGGGTCGCCTGGCGGTGCCCACCGCCACTGCCTTGATAAACAATTGCAGGATGAGCGGGACCAGGAGGGCCCCAGCGGGTACAGCCACCAGGATGCTGTGCACAGGTTAAGAAGGGAAGCAATGGAAGATCTCCTCCCTGGCCTGCTTTCGACCCCACTGCTCCCTCCTTCCCTCCCTCCCCAGGTAGCACCACCCACCGCTCTCCCTCCCTGGACTGGACAGTTAGTCCAGTACAACCAAGGGAAACCTCCCTCCACCACACTGTCCTCCCACCTGTCCCTTTTCAACTTTCATTACCCTACTCTGTGGGCCCCTAGATTCTTAACTCCATAGGCATCCTACCCCGCCCATGTCCCTGACTCCACTGGCCTTCCAAATGTCCTTCACAGGTCCTGCCAAGTGACTTCTCCCTCTAGCCCCGCCCACGTCAGCCCCTCCCCTGTCACCCTGACCCTCCTGGGCTGTTTGCCCCTCCCTCCCCACCACACAAGCTCTTCCCAGTGTGGGCCCTTGGGACTGTGTGGATACGTCATGGTTTTGTCCAGAAACGCGATGTTCCTCCTGCGTATGATGAAAACCACGCAGGTGGCCAGCACGGTACCCAGATAGAGGCACAGAGACAAGAGGAGTAGCAGGTAGAGCCGGATGTTTCGGTGTCCCACGCAGTTATTCACCCACCTGCATTGGTGGTCGAACTCCTAGGGGAGAGGAGTCAGGTCTGAGGGTCCTTCTGGAATGGCCTCCATCACCCTCTAATCCTGGGGCCTCCCCTAACGCAGCCCTCTAGGCCGCCTGCTTTTGACCTTACATAAGGGTTCCCATCTCAGTGAGAACCTGGCATTTCCATGGTTAGAGCACAGTTAGGACCCCATGGCTCATCAGGCTACCTGTCCTGAGTGAGGTCTTTAGAGACAAGACCTGCCTGGTGTCACGTGGACCAGGACATGAAAACTCTGGGCCTCCGTTTCCTCAAGTACTGGAAAAGGATGAAAAAAAATGCCCCTCCACTACCAGCTGTCTGCACTTGTGAACCCGAGCAGGGTGGGCACATCAGAGAAACACACTCAGAACCCAGGAAATCCTCCAACTGGGACACCCAGACCAAGACGGGCAAAGATCCCCAGGACAGAGCAGCAGTCAGCCTAAAGGGCTGGGGATCTAGTATCAGCAAGCCAGGGGAGGGGACAGTCACTGCTTTTCCTCCAGCTGACTCCATCAGGCTCAGCACAGAGGGGATGCCCTTTGTATGTCAGCACCTTTGCAAGCAAGGCCAGCCTCCCTGGACAGGTGCAGACACAGAGGTGATGACATATATAAGTGATCAACAGTGGCTGAGATGAAGCACTCTGGGAACATGGTCTGATACCCCCACCTGGCCCACTCATGATGTGAGGTTCCTGGTCCTGGCCAGGTGCCCGGAGATAGTTTGGTGAGTGGACAGGGAGGAGGAGCACTTACCTCCACACAGATGTCACACCTTTTGCAGTGGAAGGTTCGGGGCAGGCAGTGAAAATAACAGGTGGGACACCACGGCATGTGGTACAACCTGCCATTCACTCGTGCCATGTAGGGAGCCTCAGGGTCCTGCTCGAAGGCACCTGGAAGGGGGAGAGGTGTGGGCAGTGGAGGAGGCCCTTGTATCACTCTGATGCTCGGGGCAGCCCCATAGCATAACTGGGCATCAGAAGGTGGGGAGGAGGAGGGCAGGGCAACCCCGGTCCCTGTTGAGCAAACTGACCACTCAGATGGCAGCAGTCAGAGAGAAGGGCTGTCCAGCCACAGGAGCTCTACATGGAGCTCCCCCTTTGGAATAGTGATCAGTGCTTGGAGTAGGGTGTGAAATGGGAAGGAGGAAGGGTGAACTGTGTGGATGGAAGAGCCTGCTGCCTCTCTTGCCCGGTCCTCCCTTCTAAAGCAACTGGAAAACCTCCAGGATTCTGTTTTTCACACTTCAGTGGCTTGGGAAATGAAGTGCCAGGGCCCAAGTAATAAGGACAGGGTAAGAAGGGATCCTGAGGCCACAGGTGGGGTCAGCCCTTTACAAATGACTCCTGTAGGCACCAGTCCTTGGGGTGCCACCTCCCTCTCCCAGGAGTCTGAGGCCTTACCTCTGTGTAAAATGCCTGGGTCCGAAAAATTCATGCCAATGAGGCTGTACAAACTCAGGAGGCAGAGAAGTCCGGAGACCACTGGGTAGGCCCACTCTCCATTTTGCGCCAGTGCTCGGCCTCTGAAATCAGAGCCAGACTCAGTTCTAGTCGGGGGCAACCAGGAGCCCCCATGAGGCCCAGCTTACCTGAGGTCAGACCCACACACCTTAACGACAGATCTGAATATCCAGGCTAGAGACAGACCCCATTCCCTCCACCAAATGTCACCAGCATTACCAGCCTCCCACAGTCCCCCCAAAGCCTCAGTCTCCCCACATCTCTGTGCTTCCCACTAAATATCCTCCTTCCCCTCCTGGCCTCCCTCCACCTCCCTGCCTCTGCACTCTCACTGTCTATTTCCCTGCTGTCTCTTTTTGAGAAACCGACAGTTGGCCTGGAGACTCACGGAAACGTAAAGAACACAGCACTTAGAAAGACCAGGGCTGCCACTGTGAAACAAGCCCAGAGGCTTGAGAATAGCCAGGATCTGGCTGGGTGTGGGGGTGGGGACAATAAATCGTTTGATACAGTCATGCTGCGATGCCTGCTCTCAAACAAATGAGAGCCAACCGCTCCTTCTCCTGGGTTGGCACCCAGAGTACCATGACTACAAGTGTGACATCAGAGAGGTTCCGGAATGGGGGCTCTGGCTGCTTCCTGTGCCCACTGATATCAACCTTCCCTTGCCCTCACATACACACTTATAGACGGGGACATCCTGCTCTTACAATGTGGCTTTGTTAGAGCTTCAGTCTCAACCCCTTGCATGTCCTCCCACCATGATGCCATTCACCGTGTTGTGATCACTCTCACCAAAGATCAGTCTCAGGGGCTGCCAAATGTTGGATTCTGTGCTAAATAAACCTCATCTCTTTATAAAGAACCCATTCTTGGGTATTTTTTTAGAGCAACAGAAAGCAGCTAATACAGAGACCATGTCATATGGTTTAGGAGAGAAGTTTGGTGATGGTTAATTATCCCCCTTTCAGTCCCAGTGCTAATGGAAGTAGGCAGTGCTCCTCACTTATTCTAGCTCCACTTCTTCCTTTTTGTTGTATCAGAGCTCCATTGTGGGGAGGAGGTAGCAATCTACCAATTAAATATCTTCCCAGTTTCCCTCACTTCCAGGGTGGGCTTTATGACATAATTCTGTCTCAACATAAAACATAAAATGGGCTGGGGATGTGACTCAATGGTTAAGCAACCCTCGGTACAATCCCTGATGATGATGATAATGATAATAATTTGTACATATTTATGGCATAAAACATATTTTGAAACATGTATACATGTACATTATTTCATATTCTTTTTTGTGTTGAGAACCCTTAAAATCTACTCTCTGAGTCATTTTCCAGTGTATATAACATTATCAACTGTACTCATTCTGTTGTATGTTATTATTAACTGTAGTCATCTTATTGTACAATAGATCCCTTTATTTGGCGTCCTGGGACCAGCATCTCCCCCATCCACCGCCCAGCCACTCCTGGGCCTCTGGTAGTCACCATTCTGCTCTCTGTTTCTATGAGTTCAACTTTTATAGATTCCACATGTAGGTGAGATCATGTGATAGGTGCCCTGTGCCTGGCTTATTTCCCCCAGTAAAATTTCCTTTGGCCTCATTCAATGTCACAAATGACAGGACTTCCTAATTTTATTTAAAGACTAAATAGTGTCCCCTTATATTTCTAAACCACATTTTCTGTATCAACTCACCCACTGATAGACACAGCTTTTCCCATTTCTAGGTTCTGAGAATATTGCTGCAATGAACATGGGGTGCAGATATCTATTAATACACTGATGCCATTTCCTTTGGATATGTACCAAGTAGTTGGATGTCTGGACAGTAGGGTAATTTTGTTGTTGTTGTTGTTGTTGTTGTTGCTGGGGATTGAACCCAGGGCCTTGTCCATGCAAGGCAAGCACTCTACCAACTGAGCTCTATTTTTAATTTTTAAAGAAACTTCCCATACTGATTTCCATAATGACTATACTAATTTACATTCCACCAAACATTGTACAAGAATTCTAGTTTCTCCACATCCAGACCAGTACTTAATATCTTTTGTCTTTCTTTTTCTTTTATTTATACTCGGGTTGATCCCAAGGATACATTACCCTGATACACAACTGCAGAACTTTTTAAGTTTTATTCTGAGATCAGGTCTCACTAAGGTGCTGAGGTTTATGTTGAATTTATAATCCTCTTGCCTCAGCCTCTTGAGTTACTGGGATGAAGGCATGTGCCACTGGTTCCTTTGTCTCTTTGATAATAGCCATTCTAATAGGTGTGAGAGGGTATCTCATTATGATTATAATTTGCATTTCTCTAAGGATCAGTAATGTTGAGCATTTTTTTTTCAGATTTCTCTTGGTCAATTGTGTTTCTACTGAGAATGCAATGATGTTTGAGTCACAGTCTACTTTCAAATTTTATGTCGATTTCTGTTTTAGCAGAAGAAGAAGGGATGACATGCATTGGGTCATGGAAAAAGGTCAGGAGTGGTACTAGAATCATAACTACCAGGTCTATTGAGCTTTGGAGCAGACCATGCTAGCCTTAGGTTTTCTTTTTTTGTTTTGTTTTGTTTTAAATTAGGTATATACGACAGCACAATGCATTTTAATTCATTGTACACACCTGTAGTAGCACAACTTTACATGTCTATGGTTGTACCTGATGTAGCATCACACCATATGTGCATTCATACATGTACCTAGGGTAATGATGTCCATCTCATTCCACCATCTTTCCTACCCCCATGCCCCCTCCTCACATCTGCCTCCCCTTTGCCTCATCAAAGTCCCTCCATTTTTCCTTATCAGAGAGAACATTCAGCCTTTGGTTTTGGGGGATTGGCTTACTTCACTTAGCATGATATTCTCTAACTCCATTCATTTACCTGCACATAATTTTATTCTCTTTTAATGCTGAGTAATATTCCATTAGGTATATATACCACAGTTTCTCTATCCATTCGTCTATTCACTGGCATCCAGGCTGTTTCCACAGTTTAACTATTGTGAATTGAGCTTCTATAAACATTGAGGTGGCTGTGTCTCTGTAATATGCTGATTTTAAGTCATTTGGGTATAGACCTAGGAGAGGGGTAGCTGTGTCAAATGGTGGTTCTATTCCAAGTTTTGTAAGGAATCTCCATACTGCTTTCCAGATTGGTTGCACCAATTTGCAGTCCCACCAGCAGTATATGAGTGTACCTTTTCCCCCACATCCTCACCAACATTCATTGTGGTCTGTATTCAGCACATAGGCCACTTTCTGGTACAGCCAATGTTCTATGTGGTTTACATGAATTATCCCACAATTCCCTGTTTTACAGATAGGGATGTTGAATGACCCGGGGCTAAGTGCTACCCAAGGTCTCCCTGTTGGTCAGTTGTAGAGCTGTGATTTGGACTTATGAGGTCTGGCTCCAGAGTCCTTGCCACCAACCACCAAGCAAGGGACTCCAGGAGGAGTTGCAGTCAGGGGGCAGAGTAGAAAGGGAGTGAAGTTGGAGCATGGGATCAGTGCCTGAGATGGGTGCTGCCAATAATGGAAAGCAGCCCTGATTGGTGAGTCTTAGAATGCAGACCACATTTAGGTCCCTTGAGACTTGGGGATCCTGGACATGGAGGGCCTCACTCTGAGCAGAGGAGGAAGGGTGATGGCCTATGGCCTGACCTGGGGATGGAACAACCACAGGATGGAGGGAGGGAAAAGGCTGACAGGCAAACTCAATGATGATACTAGAAGCTGGAGAGAGGAGGAGACCCTCAGACCACAGGGCTGAGGAATAAGGGCCAAGCACAGGAGTCACAGGGGGGAGGGAACCACATATGGCAGTGGTGGGTGCTGACTAAAAGGATGGGAGGTGATGAGCAGACAGGCTCCTCTGTCTGTTCACTGTCTCGGGGTCTGCAGCTTCCCCTCCCCCACTGATGCTGCCCACCAGTCTTCCTGAAAGAGCCTTTAGTCAAGTGATTGCCATACTAAAGGAATCCCATGGCAGAGATGCCCACCCCTATCATTCCTAGTCAACACTAAAAAGAAAAAGAAACAAAGACACACAGTTTGGAAAGAATGTAATGAAACTTGGAAAGAATGTAATGAAACTGTTCCTCACAGAGGACATGATGTTCCAAGTAGAATGAACAACAACACTCAATGGTAGAGCACCCTTCATCAATCTTTGGAACTGGAAAAACAACAGCACTAAGAACTTCTGCTTCTTTGGAACATACTATGAAGAAAATGAAGTGACAAGCCACAGATTAAAAAGATTTGTAAAACATAAATCTGAGTCCAGTATAGAGAACTCTTGAAATTCATTAAGGAAACAACTCATTTTTTTAAAATGGGCAAAATATTGGAGCAAACACTTTACCAAAGACCTACCAATAGGCAAGAAGACATGAAAATATGCTCAACATCATTTCTCATTAATAAAACACAACCTGGAGCCTTAATGAGATGCCACTACTCATTTATTAGACAGACTACAATAAAAAGATAATAACAAATGACAGTGTCAAATGTTGGTAAGGATGTGAAGCAACTGGAATTCTCATATGTTGCTGGTAGAAATTAGGAATGGTACAGTGGTTTTGGAAGACAAATATGGCAATTTCCTATAAGGTTCCATACATGGTTACCTTATGACTCAGCAATGCCACCCCTAAAAATTTACCCAACAGAAAATGAAAGCTTCTGTTCACATGCCTGTATACCAGTGTTCGTAGCTGCTTTATTTATAACTATGAAAAACTAGCTGGGCACAGTGGCGCATACCTGAATCCTAGTGGCTTGGGAGGCTAAGGCTGGAGGATTGCAAGTTCAAAGCCAGCCTCAGTCACTTAGCAAGGCTCTAAACAACTTAGTGAGACCCTGACTCAAATAGAAATACAAAATTAAAGAAAAAATAAAGGGAGTAGCAGAGCTCAGGGTGTAGCTCAGTAGTTAAGCACCCCTGGGTTCAATCCCTGGGACAAACAAAACAAAAAAGTATGGAAAAACTAGATACAATGAATAATCTTTTAAATGGTGAATGTGTAAATAATCTGTAGGACAATGCATACAAAATAATAAAAGGAAATAAACTACTCATAGGAGCAATACATGGATGAATCTTAAATGTATTGTACTAAATAAATGAAGCCAGACTGAAAAAGCAAAGACTCCATTTACACGTGATTCTGGAAAGAGAAAAATCAGAAGGACGTAGGGGGAGAAACTGACAACAGAAGGTGATGAAAGGATTTTCTAGGGTAATGAAACTGGTCTCACCTCGATCATAGTGTAGAGTGCAGGACAGATTCCACTTGTCAAAATTCTTAACTGTAGAAACGGTTGAGACTTTTACTGTGAGTAAATTATTCCTAAAGAAACAACGTTTAAAAAAATTTTTTTATACCATGGCTCCCAGGTTTTTACTTCATCCAAACTAAATTCCACACTTGACTTTCTGAGCCTTTTTAATCTTGACCTCCACATGGTCAACTTCATTGCCCATGCCTCCTTGTTCTTG